TGTATTTATACATGTTGATCATATCCTCCCTTAATCTCCTCTTCTCAAGAAAGAATAAATTCAGTTCCTCTAATCTTTGCTCATAGCTGAGCTCCTCCATGCCTCTTATCAGTTTGGTTGCCCTTCTCTGTTCTTTCTCCAGTTCCCCAATGTTCTTTTTGTGAATTAGTGCCCAAAACTGAACTGCATATTCCAGATGAGGTATTACTAACTATTTGTGCCGGGGTAATATGATATCTCTCTCTGGAGTCTATACCTCTTTTAATACAAGAGAGGATTTTGCTTGTTTTAGAAACCGGAGCTTGGCATTGCATGCCATTATTAAGCTTGTGATCTACCAGAACTCTCAGATCCTCCTCCACCATTGATTCCCCAGTTGTACCCCCCTAGTATGTATGATGCATGCATATTCTTAGCCCCCAAGTGCATAACCTTACATTTATCAACATTAAACCTCATTTACCACATAGTTGCCAAATTAAACAGTGCATTGAGGTCGGCTTGTAAGTTGAAGACATCCTGTAAGGACGTTATTCTACTGCACAGCTTGGTGTCATCTGCAAAGACTGAAATGGAATTTATAATCCCAGACCATATATTGTTTCTAGATATATTAAAAAGTAAGGGTCCCAACACTGAACCTTGGGGTACACTACTGACACCCCTAGACCATTCAGAGTATGAATCATTAACCACTACTCTTTGCATACGATCTTTTAGCCAGTTTTCTATCTATTTACATACAGATTTTTCCAAGCCCGTAGACTTTACCTTACACATTAGCCGTATGTGGGGAACTGTGTCAAACACTTTTGCAAAATCCAAGTATACCACGTCCACTGCCATCCCTCTGTCCAAGGTTTTGCTCATCCCCGCATAAAAAGAAATCAGATTTGTTTGACAACTTCTGTCTTTCATGAATCCATGCTGTCTGTTGCTTAAAATATTTTTTTCCAGCAAGAACTCATCTATGTGGTCTTTTTCTATTATTAAACTCTCCAGTATCTTCCCAACTATAGAAGTTAAACTAACAGGTCTATTAGTTTAACTTCTATAAAGATTTCTGGTAAAGATTTTGACCCCTTTTTAAATATTGGCACCATATTGGCCTTACGCCAATCCAGTGGTACTATGCCAGTCATTAAAGAGTGCCTAAAATTAGAAACAATGGCTTTGAAATGACAGAGCTCAATTCTTTACAGACCCGTGGGTGTATGCCATCCAGTCCAGGTGCTTTGTTCACCTTTATACTCTCTAAATATTTTTGGATCATATAAGTTGTGAGCTAATGTGGATTATCTGGAGCTGTGTCAATACCATGTCCATTATGGACAAGAGCTCCTCCATGCTCCTTTGTATACACAGAGCTGAAGAAGGTATTTAATAAATTTGCCTTCTCTTTGTCCCCAGTCACCCACTCTAGATTATTTTGTAAAGGGCCTACATGCTCGGACCGGACCTTTTTACTATTAATATACTTGAAGAATTTTTTGGGGTTGGTCATGCTATCTTTTGCAATCTGTTGTTCGTTTTCGATTTTTACAGCCTTTATTTCCTTTTTGCATATTCTGTTATATTCTTTGTAATGTTTAAACGATGATAGCGTTCCTTCATTTTTTTTTAATTAATAAAAGCTCTTTTCTTATTATCTATAGCTTTTTTAAGTTTGGCCGTAAGCCACATATAGGTTTGATTTTTAGCCTTTTAAACGTGTTGCCCATGGGAATATATTTTGCAGTATGCTCACATACAGTCTTTTTGAAGAACTCCCATTTCTTTGTTGTGTTCATCTAAGCCAGTTTCTCAACTCCAGTCCTCATGGACCCCCAACAGGTCATGTTTTCAGGATTTCCCTCAGATGAAACAGCTGTGGTAATTACTAAGGCAGTGAAACTGATCAAATCACCTGTGCAAAATAATGGAAATCCTGAAAACATTACCTGTTGGGGGTCCATGAGGACTGGAGTTGAGAAACACTGATCTAAGCCAATATTCCCTCCCAGTCTAAGTCTTGGAGAGCAGCGCTCAGCCTTGGAAAATGAGTGTTTTTATTTTTCCCATATGTGCTCGCTGTTTACAGCTTACAATAAATGAAATCATGTTATGGTCACTGTTACCCAGATATTCTTTTATATGGACATATGTAATAAGCTTTGCATGGTTTGAGATTACCAGGTCCAGCAGAGCATCATTCCTAGTAGGGGCTTCTATGAACTGTACCTAAAAATTGTCTTGTAGTAGGTTTACAAAGTTTTGCCATTTAACTGTTCCTGCAGTACCATTACTCCAGTCAATTTCCGGGTAGTTAAAATCCCCCATTATTATCACTGTCCCAGCCCTTGCAGCCCTTTTGAAGGTTCACTAGTAGTACACAGAATTGGCAAGAAGTGTGTCACCTGTAGGGTCACTGGTACTGTAACCTTTAAATATACTGTGCAGCCACAGAGCACAGTACTTTTCAAGCTTTTTTAAACTATGGGGTTGATTTATTAAAACAGGACAGTGCAAATCCTGCTGCAGCTCTGCATAGAAACAAATCAGCTTCCAAGTCTCTTGTCAGAGCTTTAGGCTCCATGTACACTGGGTGTTTTGATAACGCTGGTAACGTTTGCTGTGTAAAGTCACATTAAAAACGTGAGTTTTTCAGCTTTTTTTTAGCATTTTTGCATTAGCGTTTAGCCATGTTTTCCACGTTTGCGGTTTTTACTGTTTTTTTTTTTACCAAAAAACCCCACGTTTTTCAGTGTGAGAGAGTTTTTACAGCTAAAAAACTTGTCTAGAAACCCACTAGTCCTGGGTTTTTTTCCAGCCAAAAAACCTCCCTGCCAAAAAATGTTGATTACAGTCTATGTGTGCATGGACACATAGGATAAACATGCTGGGGAGTTTACTGGCTGTAGAAAAAAACATCAAAAGCCAAAAACAGCCGCTGTAAAAACGTCCAGTGTGTATAAGGAATAACGGAACAAGGTGAAATCAGAAACTGATTGGCTACCATGCACATCTGCACTAGATTTTGCACTCTTCAGTTTTAGTAAATCAACCCTTTGTGTTCAGCTGTTCAGTTTGCCCTATATGTATTTGGATTTGGCAGTAAACCAGTTTATAAAAATGAAGCAATTCTTATTATTGTTTACTTGCTAGTTTTTATCAAAAGGCAAATTCTGTTGGTAGAAAGTAAATCCATTACAACGCCATTATGACTCATGCAATCCTGGAGCAAAACACAAATTAGATTAATTAAAAGCTTGATTACATTTAATAACACTTTACGTTTTTTGACATGTCCCCATATAGATGATATTTTTATTTATTTTTATAACCTTTTTTTTTTTTTTTTAAACATTTGATTTAGCCATGGCTAAAGATAGATCGGTTCCTTGTAATTTAACAAAGCAAATATAATTGGATCACAGTTTGTATACTTTTTTATTTATTTCAGGTACTTATATAGCGCTGTCAATTTACGCAGCGCTTTACACATATATATTGTACATTCACATCAGTCCCTAACCCTCAAGGGGTGTACAATCTAAGGTCCCTAACTCACATTCATACATACTAGGGCCAATTTAGACAGGATCCAATTAGCCTACCAGCATGTCTTTGGAGTGTGGTAGGAAACCGGAGTACCCGGAGGAAACCCACACAAGCACAGGGAGAACATGCAAACTCCAGGCAGGTGGTGCCGTGGCTGGGATTCGAACCAACGACCCTAGTACTGCCGGGCGGAAGTGCTAACCATTTAGCCACTGTGCTGCCCATTTAGCCACTGTGCTGCCCTTTTTCTAGCAGAGCTGTAATAAATATGAATTGCATTATATATTAAGGCAAAAGTGATATACAAAGTGCAGTAAGCCATGATAACAAGCAGTAGTCATTACTTTGATAAGTTGTCATCTCTGATAGGCTGCTAGGGGGTGCTACATTATGTACATCATAGTTGCCTTTGCACTGTTTTGTTCCTGTTCTGGTGACAGCAGTTATGAATTTTCTAGTGTCAATGGTTACAAGGATGAATTTAACCACTTCCCAACCGGCCATTGTATATAAACGGGGCCGGACGGTGGCAGTGCAGGGTCGGGTGGCCGTTTAAAAAATGGCCTCCCTGCACCCTGCTTGTGCGCGCTCCCTCTGTATGAGGTCCCGATCATGTGATCACTGATTGGCCAATCAGTGATCACATGCAAAGTAGTAAGCAAGATGTCACTTGTGACATCATTGCTTACTACGTGTGAAATCTGTGAATGATCACAGAGGTCACATGGTACAAGGCTATTCACAACAGCCTTGTAATATGTGACAAGCTGTGACCAATCACAGCTCACTCAGTACTTCTCAATGACTGCAAGAATGCAGACAGAGAGAAAGAGAAATGATTGCTTTTACATCCTATATGGGTGTAAAGCAATCAGTGTAAAAAAAAAAAAAAAATCTTTATCACCCCCCACAAGTAGTACAGTCACCATGGTGCACTGTACTGCTAGGGTGACAGTATGTAAAAAAAACAATAAAAAATATGTTAAAAAAAATGTTTAAAAATTATAATTTTTGGTTATAAACTCATTTGGATTTTTTTTTTTTTTTTTACTAAAAAGATAACGGAATACATTTTGGCCAAGATTTATGATGAAATATTATTAATTTGCAAAATTTTATAAAGAAAACACATTTTTCCAAATTTTTGGACATTTTTATTTACAGAGCAAAAAAAATAAAAATCCCAGCAGTGAATAAATACTACCAAAATAAAGCTTTATCTGTCTCAAAAATTTTTTAAAAAAATTCATTTGGGTAGTGTTGCATGACCGCGCAATTATCATTCAAAGTGTGATAGCACTGAAAGCTGAAAATTGCCCTGGTCAGGAAGGGGGTAAAAGTGTCTGGTCTGGAAGTGGTTAAAGCACAAAACAAGCTTTAGATATACGTTAAAGTAAAAATGCATTGTGTTTATGTGCCACATTGGAACTGATAATGACTTCTGTTTTTATTTGTTGCAGTTCTTTGACCGGCTTCTTCTCTTCGCTATGCCAGCTAAACACCAGCCAGATTTTATCTACCTGCGGCATGTGCCTCTGCGAAAGGTCCATCTTTTCACCATCATACAGCTGACTTGCCTGGTTTTACTTTGGGTTATTAAGGCGTCTCCAGCTGCTATTGTTTTCCCAATGATGGTAAAAAAATTAAAAACATATTTTTGTGTTTGTGTCCTCTTTAATGGACCAAGTTGTGTTCAAATTATTTAACATACTCCATTTTGATATATGTCCTTTGTGTCTTGAAATTACTATCATAGTTGTCAGGTCTTCTTACATGCACTGTACATGCAGATGATCTGGAATTCTGTTGGCATAGGCTGTTGAGTTAGCAGAATACTCTAAATTGCTACCCAGGAGAGATTACACATGGACTCTTAATAACTTCTTGTGGTGACATGGGAATAGGCTTGCACCTCGTCTGATGGTTCTTCACTTGCCTCATACTAGTATGGACACCGTGAACACAGCTTAAAATGTAATTGTGGCCAGGCTATGGACATTTAAATATATACTAATGTTTAACAAGCAGTACGTGGGCTTTAAAACAAGCCCTCAATAAATTCTGTAGCTGCAGGCACTGTGGAGCAATTCATCTTCAAAATTCACTGTAGAATCACTGGAGTTGTGGACTAAGGCAGCATTTTTCAGAATATGCAGTGGCACCCCATAGCAGTATGAGAGGGGGGCACTGCAAGTGTGGTACTGTATAGTAGCCTAATATACAACTTCCAGAGCCTGTAAACCCTTTCAGAGCACAAGAAGGTGTCAGTGATTGCCCTCTTCATCCAAAAAGTAACAATAGCCTTCCACATGCTCCTAAAATCACAGCAGTTGGCTGAGTCGCCTAGATCTGGGCGTATGCAAGCTGTGCTTACTGCTGTATTTGGGTTTCCTTTGCTTGGGCGAGTGACTGTGTTGTACAGCCAGTATGCATATATTTGTGTGACTTCAATGATGGCAGCAGGATGCCATATGAAAGATTGTGAAGTGTTTGCATGAATATATTGTTGTTCACCTCTTTGGAAGCTGAAAGAGAGATGTTACTATTGTATTATAATGTGTAGTTGGTGTAGAGCTGGTTGATGTGCACACAAAGCTTGCTCCATGTCATTTCTATTTTTGGGATGTCAAAGCTGTTCTGTTTTGGGAATGGGTTGAGAACTTGGTGATTATGGTTGGTTGATGTTTATTAGTTTACTTCTAATATTTATTTATTAATTACTGCACCATTTAAAAGTATAACTGATCCACAAAAATGTGTACAGGTAGGGTGAGTGGAATGATAGTTCAGCTGCTTCCAAAGAGAGGCATGACCAAACTGGTCCATGCCAACTCAGCTCTGCTGATCCAGCAGTAACTCAGCTGCCTTCCAAATTTCTGATCTCTAATGTAAATAAAGAACTGGTTGTCCGGAATAGGGGGGGCCAGGGGAGCTTCTGCATTTGATGTGAATTTGAGGATGAATAGCTTCACAGTAGCTGCAGCTACAGAAGTTGGCAAGGGCTCTTTTTAAAGCTTACTGCTTGATAAGAATAGCAATACACAAGCAATGGCATGGCACCAGATTGAATTTGGACATAACAGTACAAATCTGCTAGTATAAACTGTTCATTTGTGGTTATATGAAGTTACTTGTATAGAATAAAGTTTCATTGTTTACAAATCATGGCTGCATTGCTGATTGAATTGCAGAGTTTACCACCATGATATCCTCCCAACAGATTTCCAGGATTTCCAGGAAACATACATATCTTCACATACTGACATTATTAAAAAGGATTTACATACACTGTAGGAACAAAAAAAAAAACACAGCAAGAAATGGGTTGACCTTGAATATATTGGGTGTAGCTTCGATTGCACTCTAAATCAACATGATGACATGATATGTAATATATGCTGAACACTATTTGTGTCAGGAATATGTGCATTCTGAGCAGCTTGCTCTTATGTAAGGGTAAGAGAGCTGATGTCAGTGATCATTTGTGGTTTGGTTGCAGGTCCTCGCACTTGTGTTTGTTCGAAAAGTAATGGATTTCTGTTTCACAAGTCGGGAGCTTAGCTGGCTTGATGACCTGATGCCAGAAAGCAAAAAGAAGAAGCTGGATGATGCTAAAAACAAGGCTAAAGAACTAGAGGTAATGGGGGAAAATCCCTTTTGTATCGTGGGAGACATTTAGCTGTATATCATAAGGCAATGTGGAGTGCAAAGCTAATGTACATTAATCTGTGTAGTAATCCATAGGAGCCCGTCAGAATTCTTTAAGACAATTTAAAGATTATTTTAATTAATTATTGCACAATGTATGTTTCTCTTTACTTTATTACCTAGTATTAGTCACCTAGCATACCATAAGTTCATTTAGCAAGAAAATTAATTTTCTAAGTATCTATTGTACATACTTGTAAATTTACATAAATTGATGGAACATGATGCACCTTTGTTATACCTTTTAAATTTTCTTGGAGCAGCTATCAGTACAGTTATAGCAGGTAAATGAACCCTCTGCTGAAAGTCCATTGGCCTTCATGTAGTAGCATTTAATGGAATATTAGCAGTGATGGCTCAACTTGTAGAATAGGTGGGGTTGATTTACTAATGGTGTTGAGGCTGTTGACTTAGGAAAGTGAATGTTAATAAATAAGGTGAACCAGTGTTCACTTTGAAATGATTTAGGAAAAATCTATTTTTTCGTAATTTCCTTCACAAACGATTGAGTATTTAAAGTGAGCACAGGTTCACCTTATTTACTAATATTTGCTTGGCAGTATTACGTTTTTAGTAAATCAACCCCAGTGTAGTTAAAAAAAAAGTTTTGGTCTATTTGAGAAGGAAGTATCACCTATCAAAATTAGTGGATACAACATTATCATACGCAAATTTTTGACTGAAAAGATACTTTTATTACAGAAGCATCAAAAACAACATGATACGTGTAATCGGGGTACATCTCACCCTGTACTGCGACGCAGCGCACCACATAGCAATACAGTTCAAGCATACAATAAATACATTCAGAAATAAATACATTCGCTCAGCGGTATGATGCCTGACGTGATGTGCAGAGGATGAATCCCCAGACCGCCACGTCATGCATGACGCCGCTTACCCCAAAAACCATAGCATCCTGATACGCAGTACTAAGTCATGCAGTAAACGAAAAGCGAAAAAACCGGAAAAACCGAAAATCACACTTTACAATAGGCATCGGGTGTGTGGGGGGGGGGGGGGGGGGAAGGAAGGGGGGAAACACAGGCCCGAAGCTTTATTGAAAGACAAAGACACGCAAGGGGGAGTAGGGGGAAGGGGGAAATCTTCAGACGTCCTCTTCCTCCTTAAAGTCCATCAAGGAATAGTCTCTGAGCAGACTGAGGATCAGTCTGCGGCAGTCCTCAATGGACATCCTCTCCCGCTGGTGGATGAGGCGCTTTCTGGCGCACCATAAAGCGTCCTTAAAACAGCACAGCACCCGCCAGGCGCCGTCAATGTCCTCCAGAGAAAAGGTTCCACAGAACAGTCCATTCAACACCCCGAAGTGAGTGATGGCTGTCTGTGGTATCATACGCAAATTTTTTTTTTTTTTTTTTTTTTTTAAGTCCGCAAACGTGAGACTGTAACGAAAAAAACCCGTAAGTGTCCGCAAAAAAGTGCAAGTGCAGAAACACACACACGAAAAACGTGCACTTAGGGGTGTGTTTGTCCTACCCCCGAAAGGGTTGGACCGTTCACCCGATCCCCCGGGGCACGAAGCTCCTGACAGGGACAAGGTTCCCATTTGGTCCTCCTGGCCAAAAGGCCTGGTGGACCACCGTTCCTTATGCCCAGCCGAAGCCGGACATCCAGTACTAGGCAAGGGGGTTCTCCCGAAGAGAAAACCCCCTAGGGATCAGGGGAGGAAGGAACCGTATGGCCACACACATCCTCCCCCTAGACTTCAGGTAAGGCCCGAGGACCCACACCCTCCATCCGTGAAAAACACACACATAAGAAAGCAAAAAGTGACAAAACGTGGGAGTGGTTTAAATAAATAGAATAAAATAAAAAAGTGGTACCGTGCCTAATAGTGCACAGACCAGGCCCTGAGGCCCGTAGCAAAAATTGCCCTGGACTTAGCCAAAAGACCTGGTCCTTAGGGCGCTGTGCAAAAAAGAGTGTAAAAAAACAGTGGCCATGTGTCATCTTCACACCGTGGGGTCCCACACCCAAGTGTTACTAGTGACACCCCTGAGCGCGTCTCCTCAGGGGGCACTGAGTTTGCGGACTTTTTGCCTCCTCAGCCCCAGGCCAGACCAAGGTAGCATGCTCAAACCAGGAGGAACTGGGTCTTTCCGGTCTCCCCAGAGGAATTACTCCCAAGGCCCCAGAACGAATCATGGCGCTCCCTGGTTTCTGTCCCCCTCCGGTACTAGCCTTCCGGACCCCCATCATACCAGTGAGGGTACTGTACAACAACCATCCCCGTAAACTAGAATGGTCGGTAGCACCCCCACTGGACACTGATAAGAACAGATACTACACTTGATCTTAGCCAAAAGGCCGAGAAGCGATATCATACGCAAATATCATAGAAGCAGCTGGGCCATTTGCCTAATATGTCCATGGACCCATGCTTGCTAAGCAATTATATAGGCAGTGACTAATGTGACTGCTCTCAAAAAAAAAACATAAGGGAGAACATGTCAACACTTTCTGCTCCACCTAATTAGGTTTGTAATCCATAATCTTTCAGGTGTTTTGACCACACCTAAATTGGTTGCAGTGTGTGACAATTAGTATATGTGTACCTTGACCGCTCCCATTTTGTCTGCTTTGGACTCACATTATCACATTTTTCCATTGTCAGGCTATGTTTCAGTAGTTGACCATGGGTTTCTTTTCTTCCTTTTTTTTTCTGCTTATATCTGGACTGGCTGCAGCTATTGCTGATCATTGGTGTGGAGATTTGAACCTGATATATTAGGGAAAGTAGTGTGTTAATAGTTAACACAAAATAATTATCAGATAATAATTATACCTTATACACCCTAGCTACTTGTTCTGCCTGTTTAGTAGTATGTGTCTAGCTTTAAGCATTCACAAAGTGTCAATAAAATACACTATATTGCCAAAAGTATTGGGACACCCCTCCAAATTATTGGATTCAGGTGTTCCAATCACCTCCATGGCCACAAATGTATAAAATCAAGCACCTAGGCATGCAGACTACATCTACAAACATTTGTGAAAGAATGGGTCGCACTCAGGAGCTCCAAGAATTCAAGCGTGGTTGCCACCTATACAATAAGTCCATCTGTGAAATTTGAACTGTTAGCGGTATTATTACAAAGTGAAAGCAACTGGGAACAACAGAAACTCAGCCACAAAGTGTTAGGCCACGTATGACAGAGTGGGGTCAGCACATACGGAACCGCACAGTGTGCAGAAGTCGCCAACTGGTTGCAGAGTCAATAATTAAGACCTCTAAACTTCATGTGGTCTTTGGATTAGCACAACAACAGTGCGTAGAGAGTTTAATGGGATGGGTTTCCTTGGCTGAGCAGCTGCATCCAACCCTTACATCACCAAGTGCAATGCAAAGCGTTGGATGCAGTGGTGTAAATTACGCCACCACTGGACTCTAGAGCAGTGGAGATGTGTTCTCTAGAATGAAGAATCATGCGGTCTAACAATCCGATGGATGTGTCTGGGTTTAGAAGTTGCCAGGAGAACGGTACTTGACTAACTGCATTGTGTCAAGTGTACTGTTTGGTGGAGGGGGGAATTATGGTGTGGGGTTGTTTTTCAGGAGTTGGGCTTGACCCCTTAGTTCCAATGAAGGGAAATTTTAAGGCGTCAGCATACCAAGACATTTTGGACAATTTCATGTTCCCAACTTTGTGGGAATAGTTTTTGGATGGCCCCTTCCTGTTCCAACATGACTGCACACCAGTGCGCAAAGCAAGGTCCACAAAGACATGGATGAGTGAGTTGGGGTGGAGAAACTTGACTGCGCAGAGTCCTGACCTCAACCCAGTAGAATACCTTTGGAATGAATTAGAGCGGAGACTGCGATCCAGGCCTTCTCATCCAACATCAGTGCCTGACCTCACAAATGCGCTTCTGGAAGAATGGTCAAACAATCCCATAGACACACTCCTAAACCTTGTGGACAGCCTTCCCAGAAGAGTTTAACCACTAGCCTACTGGGCACTTATACCCCCTTCCTGCCCAGGCCAATTTACAGCTTTCAGCGCTGTTGCACTTTGAATGACAATTGCGCGGTCATGCAACACTGTACCCATATGACATTTTTTTTTTTTTGTGACAGATAGAGCTTTGTTTTGGTGGTATTTAATCACCTCTGGGATTTTTATTTTTTCTTAAACAAACTAAAAACCACTGAAAATTTTGAAAAAAAAAAAGTTTTTTCTTAGTTTATGTTATAAAATTTTGTAAATAAGTGATTTTTCTCCTTCACTGATATGCGCTAATGAGGCTGCAGTGATGGGCACTGATAGGCTGCACTGATAGGCACTGATGAGGAAGCACTGGTAGGTGGCACTGATGGGCATTGACAGGCATCACTGATGGGCACTGAAAGGCAGCATTGATACATGGCACTGATATATGGCACTGTTAGGCGGCACTGATAGGCGCACTGACTGGCACTGTTAGGCGGCACTGTTAGGCGGCACTGACTGATAGGTGGCACCGATGCACACTGATAGGCGGCACTGACTGGCACTGATAGGTGGCACTGATAGGTGGCACTGATTGGCATTGATAGGTGGCACTGACTGGCACTGATGGATGACACTAAAAGGCAGCTCAGATGGGCACTGATATTTGGCATTGATGTGCACTGGTATGCACTAATATGTGGTATTGATGTGGCACTGATAGGCACTGGCACGTGGCACTGATTGGCACTGACAGCTGGCACTGATGGACTTTGACAGGTGGCACTGCTGGGGCTACACTGATCATCAGGTCACACTGATAATCAGTGCCCTGATGATCAGTGTACATGTCCCCTCCGCGGAAGGCCGATTACCGGCTCTCCTCTCCTCTCAAGCTGTCAGCATGACAGCTCCCTCCAATAAGGATTCTGATAGACACTTTTAAACCCTATTGAAGGCAGCCTTTGCTTCTGCCTTACAACTGGCAGTTGCAGCTATAACCATTTGTCAGCATGTTGTAAATTGCAAATTCAACAAAGGCTTGTTATTAAAGTGGTTCTAAAGTTAAAACATTTTTTTTGCTTTAATGCATTTCCTGCATTAACCACTTGAAGACCGGGCAATAGCTGAATGATGGATACAGCGTGGTCGCTTAGATATGGGAGGGCGTCATATGACATCCTCCAGAACCGTGCCACCCATGTGCCCCCTGGGTCGCGCACCCGGTGAGCTTTGTAATCGCTGTGTCCTTTGGACACAGCTAATCACATGACATGGTAAAGGGCCAATCGCAGCATCCTTTTCCAATGCAATCAGCTGTGTCCAATGGCACAGCTGATCACAATGGAAATACAGTTACCATTTATTGGCTGCACTTTCCTCATGCTGTCACAGCATGCAGAGAGAGGAGACATGGTAATCGTCAGCTGTATTCCCACATCAGAAGATATCAGTGCAGCCTCAAAAGCACATCAGTGCAGTCTCAGAAGTGCCCATCAGTGCAGTCCCAATAGTCTCCATCAGTGCTGCCAGTCAGTGTCCATCTGTGCCACCAGTCAGTGTCCATCAGTGCCACTAGTCAGTGCCGCCAGTCAGTGCTGTCTATCAGTGGCTTTCAGTGCCATCTATTAGTGACCTTCAGTGTAGCCTATCAGTGTCCATCAGTGCCGCCTATCAGTTCCCAACAGTGCTCCATATCAGTGCAGCCTCATCAGTGCCTCCTTGTCAGTGCCCATCAGTGCAGACTATCAGTGCCCATCAGTGCTACCTATCAGCGCAGCCTCATCAGAACCTGTCAGTGCAGCCTATCATTGCCTATCAGTGCAGCTTCATCAGTGCACATCAGTGAAGGAGAAAAATTACCTGTTTACAAAATTTTACTACAGAAACGAAGATGAAAAAAAATGTTCAAAATTTTTGTTTTTTATTCATTTGTTTAGTAAAAAATAAAAAACCCAGTAGTAAATAAATAAATGCCACCAAAAGAAAGCTCTATATGTCTAAATAATGATAAAAATTTCATTTAGGTACAGTGTTGAATGACTGCGCAATTAGCATGCAAAGTGCAACAGCACTGAAAGCTGAAAATTAACCTAGTAGGCAAGTGGTTAAAGTAAAAAACATTTTTCCACTTGTGGTGCCCCCCCCCCCCCCCCCTTCCTTAAACACTTGCCTAATGAGTCTTTTCTCAATACAGTGCTGTGCCTGGCTGCAGCTCTTCTCTCCCCTTCCTTTTCTCACAGTAGACTCATAGACACAGGCAGCAGTAGGGGTCATTTACTCCTGCTGCTGTCAGTCAAATCCTGTGAAGAGGCAGCTGAGTGCATTCTCGATTCGCATATGTGCCCCATAGCACATGGCAAGAGAAACAGTGGAGAGTGCTGGTGGGGGACCACCAAAGAAGAGGTAAAGGACCATTTTGTGCAATACCATTTCACTGAGCAGGTAAGTATAAACCTCTTTTTATGTTAATAAAAAGAAGGTTTTAATATCACTTTAAAATAATTCCAGGAAAATTTCATAGAACACATGGTGCTAGAAAACGACATGGAGCTCAATACATTGAATTCTTATACTGTACCGCGCTCCAATATTATCAACCTTTTGTGATTAACCTTTTTTGGTTGTGTGAATTTCTTAATATACCACCCTATAATCCAATCATTACTTACTTCTATGGTGCTTAAATATACAATTAACATAAATTAATTTATAAATATGAATTAAAAAATTATATGTGATTATAACAAATATTAATAAAAAATTAATGAAAAATTGGAATGTCAATTCTATGTGAATAAAATAATAAAAAATTAATAAAACATTAAAAAAAAAAAAAAAAAAAAAGGGAAATGTCAATTATTTTCTTTGAATTTGAGATGGTGTTGTTATTCAATTTAGTTAATGTGATAAGTCTGTGTTGGCAGCTTGAACCTCTCCTCGTCTGCTCTCCTCTCTTTGTGCTTTCTTCACTGGCTGCTTTGTTTATTCCTCCATATACGGAACATGCAGAGAAGGGAAAAGAAACATAGTGTCTTATCCGGGATATAAGTGATAAGACACTATGTTTCTTTTCCCTTCTCTGCATGTTCCGTATATGGAGGAATAAACAAAGCAGCCAGTGAAGAAAGCACAAAGAGAGGAGAGGAGACGAGGGAGAGGTTCAAGCTGCCAACACAGACTTATCACATTAACTAAATTGAATAACAACACCATCTCAAATTCAAAGAAAATAATTGACATTTCCCTTTTTTCTTTTTTTTTTTTTTTTAATGTTTTATTAATTTTTTTTATTATTTTATTCACATAGAATTGACATTCCAATTTTTCATTAATTTTTTATTAATATTTGTTATAATCACATATAATTTTTTAATTCATATTTATAAATTAATTTATGTTAATTGTATATTTAAGCACCATAGAAGTAAGTAATGATTGGATTATAGGTGGTATATTAAGAAATTCACACAACCAAAAAAGGTTAATCACAAAAGGTTGATAATATTGGAGCGCGGTACAGTATAAGAATTCATAGTTTAATTTCATACACCTAGAGAGGGTGTAATTAGTGCCTGGCGATCCAATATTTAATTAATATTCACTTAAGCACACAATTAACACTAATAATAGAGTAAGTTAACTCCTGGTGGCTCACAAATAACTATTCTACTAAAATGGAGCTCAATACAGTTGTGCAAGTTAGAGACAACTTGGGTAACAGGGATTATGAAGTAATAACATTTGCCATACGTTACAATTTGCTTGAGGTGATTGTAGCCCGTATTAGTGCACTTGTGACAGAAACAATTGAGTACTGACGTGATACTTTTTTTATTTGCACTAACATACAATTTTAAGGACAAGCTTTCGGGGTATGCCCCCTTTTTCAAGGTCCAAGTTGTACTGCTTGGACCTTGAAGAAGGGGGACATACCCCAAAAGCTTGTCTTCAAAATTGTATGTTAGTGCAAATAAAAAAAGTGTCACGTCAGTACTCAATTGTTTCTGCCATACGTTAAAAGAAAAAGAAGCATGTTGGTATGACAAGAAAAAAAAATTCAAAAAAGGTAACTTCAGCAAGCTATGATCCTTACTGCACACGTAATGGAACCAAATATTTGCAACAAAAAGTACATGAGGTAAGTGGGAGTGTTTTAAAGATGTAGTGAAAAAGCATATTAGTCATTATATTCCATTGGGTAACAAACATAAAAGAACAAAAATGAAAACTTATGTGACTAAATATTAGTGCAAAAGAAACAATTACATTAGAAAAAACAGGCCTTTTAAAAATACAAAATAGAAGGTACACCTTTTGGCATTCCAGTTTTTCAAAGAATACATTAAGCAATGCAAGGGAGCAATCAGGGCAGCTAAATTAGAATATAAGAAACACATTGCTACAGCAAGTAAAACAAATCCAAAAAGTTTTTTTCAAACATCTCAATAGTAAAAAGGTTATGAAAGAACAGAACAGATAGGCCCCATAACAGATGAATATGGGAAGTAGGTCACAAATGGCATTTTAAAAGGCTGATGTAGTAAATAATTTTTTCTTCACTTTTTGCAGATGAAAAAGAGGGGTTTGATAGTCATAACAGTAATACTAATAGCATTTCACTGAAGGTACCTCTGTGTCAGGCAGAAAACTAGGTACAAAAGAGACCACAGAACCTTATTGTGAACAAATCACCAAGTCAAGGTGGCTTACACCTGCAAGTCCTTAGGGAACTTGGCTTGTTTATAGCCAAGTCGCTATTTCTAATTTTTAAAGACAGGTTATTGAGAGAAATGGTACCAACTGATTGGCATAGAGCAAATGTGGTGCTAATTTACAAAAATAGATTGTGATGTATACCAGGAAACTACTGACCAGTTAGCCTAACATCAACAGTGTATAAGGTATTTGAGGAAATGGTAAGGGACTTTATTAAGTGTTCTTGCATGGCAAGACCACTTACTGTTATCTCACATACTGTATATATTCTTATTATTATAGTCAAATTTACCACCCTAACTCCTCCCACAGTTTTTACACTACATAGACAGTAATATACCGAAATGTGCAGATTGTTCCCAAGTGGTGTGCTATTACTTTGTGGAACGTTTTGCAGAATGGTTCACGAAATATCAGCGTTTTTGTGGTGAAATTGGTCCCATAGGAATGAATGGCGGAATGTTCAAAACTAGAGTGGGAGCTGACAAAAGCTAGAGTGTGAGCTGAAAAATCAGGACATGATTCCTAAACTGCCATCACCCCCTCATTTTTAAGCCCACCTGCACAAATCTTATATCAAAACGTTCAGCTATCCCTGCTGCCACTAAAAATGTCTGCGGCTAAGCCATAGCCCTGATAGTTTTCACAATATGACCATTTGTTTGCAACTCACGCCGCCCATTGACATTCATTGAAACTCCACTCTAGCCACCTCAAATTTGAAGGGCAATTTCTAAACTGCGACTGTGCCTTCATTTTTAATATTTCAGAGACATACTATGCATCAAAATATAGGTCTGGGTCTTGTGATTCTCACAATATAAAGCTCTTCGGTGTAGGATTTAGAATTTTTAAACTACAACCGTTTGAACATGGCAACCGCCAGTGAACTGAGCAAGTTGGAGCAGTTTATTTTTAACCGCTCTTCTCTGCCCTTGCTGTTGAGTGAGTTTCCATAGGAACCCAGGTGTGTGAGCAGGCAGCAGAGTGACAAGCCTCTCCACACAGTTACTCCGCCCACTCCAGTTGTAGACTACTGGTGGAGGCAAGAACACTTCACACAATTTCCCCAGAAATTATAGCTTTTCTAGTTCAGAAATGTGTTTGTGGTAGAGGTATTTTAAGTAAAAACCAACATGGATTTAGGAAAGACTGTTCTTGTCACACCAACCTGTTACTGTTCGATGAGGCAGAAGTGGTGTGCCCCAGGGTTCTGTTGTGAATGCAGTTTGGTTTAATGATATAGAGGTTGGAACTAAGAGGTTGGTTTAAGTGTTTGCTATATACCAAATTATGCGTGGAAATTACTTCAGCACAGGATATAGCATCATTACCAGAAGATCTAGATAAATTGGGGGTTGGCAAATAAGGTTCAGTATTGAATGTAAAATTATATTTTTGGGTGTCAAAAATATACATGCAAAGTACACATTAAGATGGGTCTCCCTGGGAGAATCAGTGATGGAAAAGGATCTGGGTGTGGTTCACAGACTTAGTAATAGCATGTAATGCCAAGCTGCGGCTAACAAAGCTAGCAAAAATATGCATTAAAAATAGCATACATTCAAGAAATACATTTAACAATTCTACCCTTGGGAAAAAAAAAACAAAAACATTGGTTCAGCCTCATCTTGAATATGCTGTCCAGTTTTGGTCACCAGTCCTCAGGAAAGATGTTGTTGACAATTACATACAGTAATACTTCTGTTCATACTTTTTCAAAGTTTTATCAGATGGACGTTTAGACCTCTGTGAGCTATGGCCACAAGGTACTTCAAGCTGTTATCTGAGTGTTCAGGGTCCATTGCCCTATGTTGTTGGCCTGTTTGCTATCTTGTTGCCAACTCCTCAGTTTATCACCTGAGGATGCTCCATGTTCTATGATTTCCTATCCTGTGTCCTGTAGTGTACAGTTAAGATAATGGGAATTTTGACTTATCAGTAAATTCTATATCTTAAAGTACAGTACAGGACACAGGTTCCTCTTCTCTGTCTTCTGTTTCCCCTTATTGCCCGCTACGAAACTGTCCAAAGGAGTGGGTGGGGCTATATAAGGGTATACTGAGAGCGTTTCCAGGAAACCTTTTGCCAATGTTCAATCACCTGAAGGTATCAGCATATAACCCATGGTCTGTGATTTTTTGTCCTGTGTCTTATATAGTACTCCAGGGTATGGAATCTACCGGTAAACCAAATTTCCATTGTCCTTCAAACAAAATTGAACTTGTGGACAATAAGGACTATATCCTAGTTGGAAGCAAAAAGTATGTCTCCTTGCAGTAATCTTGCTTGTCTACTTAAGTATGATATGATAGGTAAAAAGTGAGTCTGTTAAGAATTATCCACTTGGCTCCCAGTCCACTTTGGAGTCTTAGTTTTTCTGCTGAAAAAAGAATGGCCCCACTTCCCCTGTTGCACTCTCCACAAAGGGTGGGGTGGGACTCTTGGTGGCATTCCTGGATGTGCATGCCTGAGTCCATTACAAACCCAAGAAAGTGGTGGGTGGTTTATTTTTCAGTTTCTACCAAAAAAAAGGATGCTCTGTGTGGATTGACCTTTAAAGTTTGTAACAGTGGTCTGTATCTGTTTTTTGTAGGAGGCAGAGAAGATGCTGCAAGCAGGTGAAGACAAAGGCGTGCAACTTCCTTTAGAGACCAGAAAATTACTGGGCAGCCCTGGGAGAAACAATAATTCCCGGTAAGTTAAACATCACCCTTTGTTAGGAGTTGTCTAGGTGGCTTTGCAAGAGGCCATCCTTAAATGGACGCTGCCTAATGCAGATGGGGCTTAGACTTTTAAACAGAGGACTAGATATACCTTTGAACATATATTTCATTTACCAGTTGAGTAATTTTTCTTTTCAAATAATTTTTAATGAAAAAAGCAATTTCTGTTGATTTATAAAGGGGTATATTGGGTAATTGAGTGTAGAAGTTAACAAAAAGGGGTGTGGGTGTAGCAAGGTAGGACTGGCAGTCTCATGACCCCAGGAGGGGCCAGAATTCACAATAATGCACCCCTAACGGTAGCTCAGAACCATTCAAACCACACTCGTGCACTTTTCATAGGAGAGCAACAAAAAATGTAAGCAGTTATGCTAATGGAATGAGATCATGTAACAAAAATAAATTAGGTGTTATCTCAGTTTGGCTGCAAAAGTGGAAATACACTTTAGGCTGCTTAGCTGAATAAAGTTTGGCCAAATTTGTTACCAAAGAAACAGCCTCTCTCTGGAAAAAAAACAATGGTTGGTCATCCTGGATATTTGGACTAAGTAATATTTGAAATGCTCCTTAAATATATATCTGACTAAATTTATTACAAAATCATACTAGGCAGATATGTACAGGTCTGACAAATATACCCACAGTCCTTAATTTCAAAGAGAAAAATCAGGAGCAGTTTGTACTTGAGCATTTAGCCTTACAGTTCAGATCACTAATGCGGCTATTTGTAAAAACATTTGTTGGGCTAATGTGATAAGCATTTGCCCAGCCCTGACGAATTCTGGCTGTATGTAGTTTAATAGAGTTATTTTCTATGATTGTCAGCACCATCTAAAGGCCATAATGCCGGATTTTTTCTGAAATGCCTCAATCAGAAAAAAATACTGAATTACGGCCTCTAGATAGCGCTGATGACCATCGGAAATCATGATATTGAGGAAAATACAGCTAGAATTCGTTAGGGCTGGGGGAATGCTGGTTACATTTGTCCAACATTTTTTTTTTAAAATAAATTAATAAATAGACCCTTTTACAATGCTGCAAGTAAAAAGGTAATTCATAAGAGTTCTGACAGAGACTAAAGCAAGCCGTAGATCAGGGGGTATTGAATTAAAATTTATGGAGGTCCAGTCATTAAAATCTTCTTCTAGCAGAGGTCCGAGTCTCATGTTTGGGCTATGACTCGTTTTTTTTTGCATAACAGCCCCACCCCCTTACATTGCATAACCCCTTCTTTACAATACAGCCCCCATTTACATTACAGTTGTCCCCCTTTACAACATCCACCCTTTACAATACAGCACTCCCTTTACATCAGAGTACCCCGCTTTACAATACAGCCCCTTCTTTACATGACAGTGCCTGCTTTACCTCACATCCCCCCTTTGCATCCAAGTCCCCCATTTTACATCACAGCCCCCCTTTACATCACAGAGCCTCCTTTACTTAAATGTCCTTTGTCCCTCTTCACATCACAGCCCCCCCCCCTTCCCCACCTTACATCACAGACCTCCACCCTTTACACCATTGTCCTCAGCCCACCTTCCTTGCATTTAAATAAAAAAAAAAAAATGAATGCATGGGCTGTCAGTTTTAGAGCTGCAGGAAGTCAGAATGGACTGCAAGCATGCTAATCAGTGCCCTCGCAGTCCACTGAAACTATAAGTCCTCCTGCAATGATCTCTAAGCCCTGCACAGTCATACTGATTTTTACCTGTGACAGTGGGTGTGGGGAGACAAGTCACTATGAAGCACCCCCATCACACCCCGATTCCCCACTGTGACAGTGGTCGTGGGGGGGGGGGGGGGGCTGACCACTGTCACAGTGGGGAATCGGGGCGTGATGGGGGTGCTTCATAGTAACTTAGTCTTTAAGGAAGGGGGGGAGCAAATGTAAACAACGGACTTTGCTTTGAAATTGTAAATTCCAGTTGAATGAGGATACATTTTCGGTGTTAATGACAGTATCCTCTTAAACAAATATTTTAGTATGTATTTCCCTACCTACTGTGCAGTAGAACTCAAATCATAGTTGCAGAGAGGTTGGAAAGGTGATGTGATATCTTCAGCTTATTGTTGTTTTTGTTTTAGATGTGATCCCTCTGACATAAATATCTCTGATGAAATGCCTAAAACTACTGTGTGGAAAGCTCTCAGTATGAACAAGAGTTCAAAAGCAGAGGAAAGAAGGTAAGGAAGAATCTATACATTATTTACAGGTGTTTAGGTGGTGTAGGCTAGTTGCTAAAACATGCAAAGGTTTCTTTAATTACATGTAGGGCTATATCATAATGTAGTTTATACTATATATACGTCCATCATAATGTAGTTTATACTATATACGTCCATCATAATGTAGTTTATACTATATACGTCCATCATAATGTAGTTTATACTATATACGTCCATCATAATGTAGTTTATACTATATACATCCATCATACTGTAGTTTATACTATATAAGTCAGTGTTTTGAATGCAGCAAAGCTAGTGAAATTGGATTTGTGGTTTGGTGTATTTTTTAGTACCCATTTTAGCTCTAGCTTAGAGGTTAGCAGTTTTGGTCACCCTTTTGTCATCATTTTGACTACATATCAAGAGGCTTGCCAAATTATGAGGTATATGGTGTAACAAAAAAGTGATAATGATATTGAAAGCATTCTAAATATGTTTTCCTGCTTTTAATCATTTTCTGGAACATTGGACAAAAATTTAAGGCAGCCCAGGACTGTTTAATTTTCACACAGAACAGAGACATTCTTTTCATTAGACTAACTCTGAAATACAAAATTGCTGGTTAAATCCTAGGCTATACAGTGATTCCAGAAAAGGGTTATTAGCTGTGAGATACAATATGCAGGTCAAGTAACCCATGAATGTTGTGGAATTGCAAGTCTTAACATGTCCTTCTAGACTATGATTGACAGACCATCAGGCAAATGCAGCCAATTACAGATTTTTTTTTAGAGAACTCAAAACAGTGACTTACTGTACATTGTCCGTAAGCTTGTATGTCACAATCTGCTATTCTACAGTAGTGGTCTTCCAGATGGCCATGGACATTAGGTGGCTGCCGTAATTTCTGGCCCTTGGTCAGTCATTCTGAAGAATGATTATTGCATAAATGTGTGTGATTGCTGTGACTATGATTGCTTGTATATTGATAGACTAAGGAGCATCAGTCTTATCATATTAGAACAATAGCAGTCAGTTGGAAAAATCCATATGTAATATAGAATCTAAACCCTGGAATCAATTGACCAGAGGATGTTTGCAGAGACTTAATACTCCTCATATACATAGGGTAAATTTCCAATCTAGTTGTGTTACTCTGGTGACCTTCATTTCATGACTATGGAGATCTAAAAGGGAACCAGTGTCCTCTGAAAAGCTTGAAACCCCCCTCCAGTTTGTAATGCAGGGATCGCCAGTTTTCCTTAGGCATCTTTAATGCATTTCCAGAGTACCCAGGAGATCCTTAACCAGGATGGCTCTATGTAAATTCTGACCAAAGTTTTTCATAGTAGTGCTCTATCACCCTTCATGCCTTGCCATTGACTAGTGGGGCCACCCATCACATTTGGTAGGCAACTGGGTGGCATGGGGCTTAGAGCTGAGCTTGCCTGTGCAAGCAGTGCTTGGAATTTTTATAATAGAGTGCCCTGGGCTTCGGAACTTCCAGCAGGCTTTGGAATTAAACTAGGTATGTGTGAAAAACATCTGAAGACCGAACTATAATTTTTATAGAGTACAATCTGCGTAGTCTTTCTCTAATTCAGCTATATAAACTGTAAGTATGTCATTCATAGAGCTGGTGTGGTATTATGGGACTGAGAACAAAATGAATGTCAGGTAATTGGCTTTCATTCTTGTGCTAACTTCCCCTAGAAAAAAAAGCCATCAAAAGTAGCACTTATGTGCATACATTCCTACTTTTCTTTGCTGTAAGTTTTCTTTAAAATGGCCCCATGGCTTTTTCTTTCAAATGAAATACATAAACATCTTAATTCTAAAAAGTTGTATTATTTTGCAGTCTCTTCTTTCTATCTTGTATCTTACCTTCTGTTTTATTTGGCAGCATTTTTAAATAGGTGTCTTGGCGCGTGAAGGATCGTGCTTGATTGAAGATGACTCAGGGAAGGGCCAAAATGTGGCATACAGTTTTTATGGGATGTCCCCACGTTTTCTCCAGATGAAGGATACATGTTAAAGCCATCAGAAATATTACCTTGTATAAATATATATATTTTTTAATTTTCCGTGTGTGCTTTAACAAGCTGTTATTATTATGTGCCATCAGTGCACTTGTAACAAAAAGTGTCCAACACAGCAATGTTGAACTGCAGCTTCAGGCAGGTTCACCAAAGTCATTCCAGACAGGATCAATGGAGATTTACCCCATCGGGGAATATACCACATTGAAGCAGATGTTCTGATCTTTCCTAGTATTTACTAGCTACAACAGGATGAAGAATAGTATCAATACTTAATGTTAATTAAGTCCTGTAGTCCCATATACTGGGTTTTGAAAATTATAGGAGCAAATTATACCTTAAGATTCTTATATCTGTTGGATGATAGTTAAGTCAATGTTTATGGAAGTAAGAGTTCAGCTTTCCTGCCAAGGCACAAATGAGAGATGTCATTTGGCATGTTGCCTGGTCTTAGTTCAAACACGCTCTTCCTTATTGTATGAACTACCATAGTAAATTAGTTCTAGAGTGGTGGAATCTTAGATTTTAGAAGAGGTTAAATCCACACAAAACTGAAAAATCGTTACTTTGGGGAAGCTGTGGTAAAATGGACACTGGCAGTTTGCTTATCTCTTGAGGGGTAAACAAAGACATTTTCTGCCCTTTCAGATCATAGGCATAGATGGAGAGTCTAGTGGGGAGAGACTGGGAAACTTTCAAACTAAAACCAAACATATCTTTGTACTGGTTTGTAGTTATATGGGCGTGTGTTTATTATAAATCCAGGCAATGCATGTATTGAATTTTCAGTTGTGTGCAGAGTTATCCTTTAAATGTCATATAGATCCAGGTCAGGGGGAAAAAAAAATGTGTAGATTAATTAAAAAGTGTTAATGTGACCATGCCTGTTTTATGAATTCTGGTAACTCAGCTGTAGATGGGTTTCTGAACTGAATTACAAGTGTATAGTGTAGTGATCATCTGCAGTTTTTGTTATTGGAGGCAGACTATTTATTTGCACAATAAGCCACCTCCATTACAAATATCTTTAGGTATTTTTTTGTTATTGCTTCTTATTGGAAAGCAATATACTTGTACTTTCATCTCTAAGTGATGTATACTTGTTTTTTGTTTTTTATTCACTGCATTTTCATTTACAAGGCAATAACAGTAAAAATACGAGTGTGATGTTTTGTACACCTTGTCCTGTATGCTGCCTTTTGGAGATCATTTAAGTTTCACTATATTTTATTGTTTAGATGACTTTTCACAGCTGGGTACATGGAATGGGTTTTCTGTAAATATGCATATTACCAGCATCAATGGAGGTGAATCTAGGAATGAAACTATATAAAATATAAACTGTTTGTCACGGGTGCTTGTTGTCGTCTATGGCACATGCTTAAGTGATTACTGTGTGGTAATAGACCTTGTAAAATGAAAATCCAGCATATTGTATCTCTAATGTGGGTGAATATGAAGCTAAATCTTAGGCTAATGTGGCAGGTGTTTAGTACTCACACACAAGTTTGTGACTCCAATTATGGTGAAATATATACTTTTTTGTATTACGTAATATAACATCATTGCTTTTTCACTATATAATTTCTGTATGCAATAAGGGGTTATATTTAGTTATAATTAAATTCAGCTTAGGCAATGAAAGTTGTTCCTGAGCAGACAGGTGGAAGTAGTGACTAGTTGAGCAAACCAGGAAGAACTAAAGGTTTCTGGGTAAACTAATTATATAAACTTGAAGCCAGTCCTGAGTTTCCTTTGATTGGCTTCAGTATTCACTTACACCATGTTGTTCTGCCTTTTTGTGGTATCTGAGGCTGTCCTATGTGTGCTGTTCTTATTACACCACCCCTTGTATCACAATACTGTTCCAATTATCACCAAACTGAGTATCCCCTTTAGAATAAAGCTCTGCATTCTCAGTAGAAGAAGGGACATGAATGGCCTACCTGCACAGTGCATAAAAGCCAATGTGACATCCCTGGGGAAGGAGAGATGTAGTTAGCTTTCCTTTCTTCCAGAAAGTCAGATTTATATGTAAGACAGATTAGAGACATGGGATGAGAACTTTGACTCTGCTTTCACATACTGGTCAACACCTGAGAATAGATTCTTACCTAACTCAAAATCATTTTGAATTCCACTACAATATTGTGTTCATCTGCAGTTTTAAATCAGTTTCCATAATGGTAACTTTTGCTGCACTCCAGCAAGCCTCCATCAAACTTGGAGCATATAATACTTTTTAACGCATCTTGTACTGTAGTGGGTTATGGGCATTAATTTAACAAAATGTTAAATTTATTGATACTATGGCACTATTAACACAGTGGGGGGACAGAACCTAAGCAAGCAAATTATGTCTGACACTCTATGTGGAACAGAAGATGGCAAACAAACACTACAATTTTAGACAAGGCTGAATGTATCATGCATTTCTAGCACTGGAACAGCTCTATTATATCACAAATAAGGCAAATATAAAAATCTAAGCCAAAAAAACTAAAACACTTGACACGGATATGTGGTCTCCTTGTAGTAAACAAAATCCCCTGCAAGGTAGTGTAATAATGTGCTAGTATTACCTTAAAACAAAGCCATCCAGCGGTGCCGTGTAACCGCTGAAGAGCTTTCCATCTTCACCCGGTCTTCCTTCCGGGTTCGCAAGCTGCGGCCGTCTGGCAAAGCCGCATGCGCACTTGAGTCCCAGGCCACAGCATAGTACTCTGAAGGAACGCCGGCTCTCAAAAAGAGAGAATATCTCCTAAATAGTGCACATTTAGGAGATATTCATTTTACCTACAGGTAAGCTTTATTATAAGCTTACCTGTTGTTAAAAGAAAAGACACAAATACCAAATAAAACAGCATTTTCATTATTCTCACCGTTATTAATTTGGTGCTTTTCCAGTATGTTTCTCTGTGGGGTTGATTTACTAAAACTGGAGAGTACAAAATCTGGAGCAGCTGTGTATGGTAGCCAA